TATATATATATATATATATATATATATATATATATATATATGTATATATATTATTAATTGTTATAGCAATTTAATGAAGCAGCTTTATTATATGAAAAAGCTGAATATTTTGATAAAGCAGCTTCTGCATATATAAAATTAAAAAATTGGCCAAAAGTGGGACAGCTTTTACCACAAATTTCATCTGCCAAAATTAATATACAATATGCTAAAGCCAAAGAAACTGAAGGCAAATATGAAGAAGCAGCAAAGGCATATGAGATTGCAAAAGATTACGAAAACATAATTAGAATTAATTTGGAATATTTAAATAATCCTGGTAATGTAATATTATGTTTTAAATATTATTTGGAATTTATATATATAACTTCTTAATTCTAGCTCGAAGTGTTGAAATAGTACAACAAACTAAAAGTATAGAAGGAGCTAAAATGGTTGCAAAATATTTTCAAAAGATGAATGATTATAATTCAGCAATTAAATTTTTAATTTTATCAAATTGTCATGAAGAAGCTTTTCAATTAGCTAACCAACATGGAAAAATGGAATTATATGGAGAAATTTTAATAAATACGATTGATGATAGTAATTCACGGACAGAAGATTTTAAAAGTCTTGCTATGCATTTTGAATCTCAGAAAAATAATTTTTTAGCTGGAAAATATTATTTCCATGCTAAAGAATATCAAAAAGCATTACGACATTTATTAAAAGCTGTACAATTAGTAACAGATGAAAATGAAGTTCTTACATTAGCTATTGATACAGTTGCTTCATCAAAAGATGATAAATTAGCAAATCAATTGATTGATTTTTTATTAGGTGGAGATGGATTGCCAAAGGTATTTTTTAGTAAAAATATATGTAATATATTAATTTAATAGTTGATTATTATATATTATATTTATTCGTTATAGGATCCTAAATATCTATTTCGATTATATATGGCTAGAAAACAATATAAAGAAGCTGCAAAAACAGCAATTATAATTGCAAATGAAGAACAAATTAATGGTATCTTTTATAATATTTCTATTTATAATAGTTTCTATAATTTCAGTTATACATTAATAATTTAATAATAAGTATTATAATAGTATAAATAATATAATAAGTAAATTATTATATATAATTATATATAGCGATATCAATTAATGCCGAAATAATATATATATCATATGCATTTCTAATTATAAGGAGTAAAATTTTAAAAACATTGAAATTTTCAAAATTTTACTAATTTTTAATTTTTATTTAAATAATTTATTATTATTATCAATTTATTAATAAATTTCATATTTTAAATATTTTAAAAAACAATTTTTTCATGGTTTCTTGTTATCATACAATATTAGATGATTTTTTTATTTTTATTTTTCTCGCAAAATATTAGAAATTTTTCAACAATCAGGAAATAGTTTTTTATTTCTTTAATTTTTCACAACTTCATATTATTGTTTTATTAAAATTTTTTTATTAAAAATTTTTTTTAATAAAATTGTTTTATTAAAATTTTTTATTTAAAATTTTTCTTTATTTTAAATTATCTTATTTTTTATATTGAAATATTAAATAAATTTATTTTACAGGAAATTATAGAAGTGCTCATGATGTTCTATTTGGCATGTATCAAGAATTAAAAAAAAATAAGATTAATATACCTTTAGAAATGCAAAACAATTTAAGACTTTTGCATTCCTATATTCTTGTCAGACTTCATGTAAAAAAAAATGATCATTTACGTGGTGCTCGTATGTTAATAAGAGTTGCCAATAATATATCAAAATTTCCATCACGTTAGTAAAAAAATATTTATATATTTTAAAATAATATATAATTTATTAATATTAATCTCCTTTTTTTACTTCAGATATTGTTCCAATCTTAACATCTACTGTAATAGAATGTCAAAGAGCTGGATTAAAGTATGCTGCATTTAATTATGCTGCTATGTTGATGCGTCCAGAATATAGAAGTCAAATTGATGCTAAGTATAGTAAAAAGATTGAAGCAATTGTAAGAAAACCACCAAAATCAAAAGATAACGAAATTGAAGATGAACCTTTAACTCCATGTCCATATTGTAAAAGTAAACTTCCAGAGACAGAAATTACTTGTGACAAGTGTAAAAATACAATACCTTTTTGTGTAGCTACAGTTAGTGTTTTTTAAAGTATTATTAGACATTTTGAATGTTTTAATGTATTTTTTTTTTTAATTGAGCATGATAATTTTTAGGGCCGACATATTGTTGAAGATGATTTTGCAGTATGTCCACAATGTGATTTTCCTTGTATAAGAAGTGAATTTTTAAGGTATGTATTAACATCTTATTTGAAAAATAATGCATATATAAAGTTATATTTTGTACTACGTATTATATTCTGATATATTAGGATCATTGAATCTGAGAAAACATGTCCAATGTGCTCAGAAAAAATAGATGTTAATATGATTTCATCCACTCTTGATATTCATCCCTATCTTGATTTTCAAGAAGAAAAATCATGAATAAAAAATCTAAACATTTCCATATTTAGTAGAAATATAAAAGATAAAAATATTATTATCACTTTCATGCCGTCCAATATAAGTATAATACAATTAAATACAAGAAACATATTATATAATTTCATAAAATATATAAAACACATGCACAAATCTAAATAATAATCATACATGAAATAATATGTAGATATTAGTATCAATAAACTAGTCTTTTAATAATTGTGAATGATTTAATTTCCTTATATATATTGAACAATTTACTACTATAATGATAGATATTGTTAAGTTTTATTAATTGTATATATCTTAATAATTTATTAAAATTATTAAATCAATATCAAATTAAGCA